GGCAGGCTTTGCTCAGCATTGCAGGGGCTGCCCAGAGCCTTTGTCTGCCTGCACTCCTGGCCTGCAAGGATCTGCTCTCAGGAGTCCCTGGGGAGGCTTTGTCAGTGCCTGCCCTCAGTGGGGCCCAGCAATGCTTCAAGGCACTGGCAGTTTGGCTTCTGACTTCTTGAGCAGCTTCTTCAATCTTCTTTAGTTACTTCAGGATGATGTACTTGTCTTTAAACACACCGTGGGGCTCATTAAAATCGAGAATTCTCTCAGGATCTCTTTGTCTTCCTTTAATTGTCTTCAAGGCAATTTCAAAACAAGTCTTCAAAGTTTGTACTTTTTTTTTTCTTTTTTAATTCAAGGATGGATATATTTTTTAGTTCCGAGGAGAGGTGATAGAGGTGTTTTCTAAGTGATTTTGATGCTGAGTGTCTCCTGAGGAGATCCAGACTGACCCTGTATGACCAACCTTGCTCCTCACTGCCCTACCTTATCAGTTTTGTCATGGCCCATCTTGGACTGACATCACCCTTCTTGCATTAGACTTCACCTCAGAGCTCTGCAGCTGGATGTTCCAGCCCCGTGGCACCATCTCCCACCTGCTCTCCTTAGAGCTCTGCTTGCACACAGGCCCAGAAAAGTTTTCCTCTTTATAAGAAAAGAAATATTATCATCATGGCAAGGCTTTGTGTGGGGTTTCATGTGAGCACAGATGACTCAACACACCAGTATGATGATCAGAAATGCTGTTTATTTGAATCAAGCAGCAGTGTTTTACACAGTTTTCTAGCAATAGTCTTCTATTAGCTTTGTTTCTTTAACATTCTTTATGCCCTTTCCCACTCTGATAGCCGGTACTGAGACCCTTTTTCCTATATCTAGTTTTGCTACTGTTTCTCTTGGTAGATCTTTCACATCCTGGTACCATCAGAAGACCATCAGAACAACAGATCATGTTTTCACAATTGCAACATAAGATTATATTCTCATAGCAACATATTTTTTATGTTAGCAACATAAGATTATGTTCTCACGGCTGTAGCATATCCTCTATGTTAGCACCATAAACCCCTACACATCCCCCTTTTTCTTTAAACAAAGCAGACACAGTTTGAGCCATTAAGCTGCAAAAACACTGAACCAGACATGGCAGAAAAATATATTCTCCTTGAAGCAGAAAGACAACAAGTGCCAACCACTGTACAATTTGCATAAGCCATGGTCCCAATCCAAGTCCTTTCAGCCAATCAATAAATGGTGATGTACCATAGGTAACATGATCCAAACATTCCTGTAAGGTCTGCAATTGTTTGTGTTTGCTGTGTGAATGGTCAGACAAATTCATGCAACACATTCCTTCAAATTCCTGCTACCCATGGCCTTGTGCCAGCAGTAAAAAGTCAATTGCTGCTCTGTTTAGCAAAACTGTGTGTTGTACACTATCTACATCAGTCAGGAGCTGTGATATGACATTGGATGTTGTGTTAAACTGTTTAATACTCCAGCATGCTGAATACTTAAATTTAGCATAATTAGAAGGGGCAGCTCCTCCAGGAACAAAAATGGCTAATGCTATTGTCCCTGCGTCTGATCCAATTCTAACATCATCATCACAGTCTGGACCAAAGTGATGAAGATTTCTTTCGTACGTCGTGTTTCGTTCCACACTTGCCTTAGGCTGGGGGCAAAGAGTGTTAATTTTCC